TGGGCATGGGTATAATCAGAAGCCTTGACAACTATGGGAGATAAACCCAGCAATTCTTGAGGATACCAATCTATCGATATAAACACAAGCATGTGCCTTTGTCAGCTCATGATAGTATCACTGTATCATGGCTTGATTATGTCTTGACAATTATGGGAGATAAACCTACCATTCCTTGAGGATACAAGGCTGTCAATACAAACACAAATATGTGCTTTGTCAGTTCATGATAGTATAATGGAAAATGGGGCTACTCCAGATTTGAAATGTTTCAATACATCGTAAATGGACAGGAAGAAGAGGAACTGTTAGAAATAGCAAGGGACAAAAGCAAGATTTGTCAATAAGCCAGAAACATGCACACACACACACACACACACACAGAAGAGAAAGAGAATCCTACCTTACAATCATCAATCCTGTACCAGTTCCCCCGAAAATCCTTGGTATAACAAATGTAGTGACCAAAGAATGATGCATTCAGCATGTCCACATGGACAACAACTGCATATAGCTTGTAAACATCATTACCATCTCCTGTTTCACTCATGTAGGGAGTAATATCTAAAGTCTCGGGGAAAGTCACCCTCTTATTGAGTTTCCCAAATCTCCACTCTGCACATATGTATAAGGAATTAAACAGATACCATAAAACTATGGAAAACAATGAAGTAAAAATTCAGCTCATCAAGCATTTGATTCAAAGAAACAATCCTTCACATACATAACACCATTCATGGAGAACATCTACAACAACACAACATATAGTCCACAATTTCATCAAGCAGACATGAATGATAGAGACAGAGAGAGAAAGTAAAATACACTTTAAATCATATCAGCAAAGTTTAAAAGTTTATCAATAAACATGAAATGAATGTAGCACAAACCTGAAACCTTTTAAGGCAATTGTAAGAACATTTGGAGCCCGTCGGATACTAAGGCGCTTCCATGCCAGGACATAGTCATTGCATCTGCAGGCATAATTAGAATTTTCACTAGGGATTCAGTGGCACGTAAATCACAAAACTGGAGCTAATATGTCAAAAGCGAAGCATACTTCATTTTGTACACATTTCATCTACCCTATTCCCAGATATTTTCCAAGCATCTACAGTCACAAGAGGCACATCAACCACAAGATCTGTGGTGACCAAATATTTCAGGAGTTTTCACAACTAATCAAACTAACTTCTTCACAATCACCATACAAAGAATCTCTGAGCAAGCATCTTTAACTACAGGTCATACTTGATTCTATTGTTCCAGGTTTGCTAATAATGTGTCAAGTGTCTAGTGGTATCAGAGGAAACACCGACTTGAAAAACTCTCGACCCACCAAAAAAAAAAGTTTGTAAGGCCATTATTATTTATGCCGAATAATTCAAATAGATTTGCAGATACTCCCACTATATCACTTGGTTAAAGATGTCAATCTGGTGCCACTATACTTTCTTCTATGTCAACATAGAAATCCTAGCTTTTCTTAACAGAAAGCAAGAAAGTATCCAAATGAAAGCAAGACAGAGCAAAGGAAAAAAGACCAGTCTTTCCAGTAGAAGTCCACACACAAATGTGTCATATTTTCAGTATGTTACCATGTAACTCGTCTGTTTCCTTCCAAAAAAATGTAACTCCAATCATGATAAATCTAAAGAACTCATTAGAAATAGATCTATATGGTGCTCTGAGATTGAGAGATTGACAATGTGCAGAAGTGACATAAAACTAAATTGCTGTAAGGCACAAATTAGAAATTTTATAGACACCAACATTTGAATTGAGAAATCTCATCCATAATGCCTGATTAAAAACTTGTGAACCATGTACACAAGGGAAAGGTCTAAGAAGCCATATAAAAAAGAAATGGCAAATACAGGATGTGCATCAAAACACACAAGAGAATGAAGTAAACACGCAAGAGAATTCAGCACTTACCTTGTATTCATGCATGTAAAATCTCTAAGTTTCTTATGAGAGTTTTATAATCCAAGGATAATATTATTGATTTTCAACTTTTAGACATTTGCGTTCCGAACAAATAAATCTCTCACCCATGCCTTACATCAAATCTTTCACTGAGGTGTAACTTTACCTCAGCAATCATTATGTCATCATCTCCCACAAGTAATATTTTATGACATCTCTACCCATAAACATAACCATCACAGCTGTTGACTTTATATCTGATCAGAAGCATGGTAGTGTAAATGTTTAATACCATTTCCTAGAGGTTTTTTTTTTTTCAAAATCAAGCAATAATTTTTTAATTAACGCACTTGGTCCTTCATTAAATTGTTCACAAAGCCCGTTGGATGCAGACACATACATATCATTGTCCAGCAAGAAATATGATTTTTCAAACTAACTATAGTTGTTTAAGAATCAATTTGATTCAACGTCTTTGATGTAAGAATTGGCAGGGTGAATCTCATATTGTAATGTGATTTTTTCCTAACAAGATAAATCATTGAAACTAAGGTTATTATCACTCTAACAGGCCCAAATTTAGTCACTGGCAAATACATATCCTATAGTATAAAAGCCTCTGAGTGTATCTTTTTGCAACCAGCTTCATATCAAACATTTCATTGGACATGCATTTTTCCTTGAAAACTCACAACCGCTTTCAAAATTAGGATGATTCAACCAATTCCCACGCGTAATCACAATAGAATTCAATTCTTCTTTCATCACGCGTATACAAATAATTTATTGTATATAATTCCACAGCTTCCTCAAATGTTCTAGGCCCACATTGGGCTATTCCACCATACACTTCAAAATCATAATTATAATGTTTGAGAATTAAGGACGCGCCTCATTTGTTTTCTTCCACTTATATGAGCATTCTCTTAATAGTATTTGATACATGAATGAATTGGTGAACAAGACAATTACATAGGAAGATTTTCATTACAGTTATTATAGTCAATTTCAATTGAGTCAGTGTGTTGAGAGCAATGATGGTCCTAGGAGTTCCTTCTCGAGAGGAAGTAGTCATTATCAGACTTTGTTAGGAGGCAATGTCTAAAATTTGAAAGTATACATTGCTAAGGGGGCATAATGTGATTTTCAAAAACTTGGGCGGTCAACCTCAGCCACCACTTACTTACTCCATATGCATGCAAGTCCTATTTCTTCTTTCTATTACCTCATCATGTGCAGCAGTATGTGGCATGGTAGTTCGATGCCTCAAACGATTTACATTGCAGCATTCCTACCAATCTAGCAAACCACATTCACCACTCTATACCTAAGCATTTTCTTTATTGGCATTCCTAGTTATGCTTCCACAAGCTTATAACAAAGCATGGAATTTAATAAGCCGCAATTTAGAAGTCGTATGCGACTGAGGCACAGGATGAGAGCAATGAGATCATAATAGGATTTAAGAAGAAACTGTCCAGTGTAGGCCTTCTTAGATTGGGCAATTTACTGTCAAAAATTATCCAAAAGCACCAATTTCCAGGGTGTACTTCCATAACTATGCAAAGAATGAACTCCATACGCATATAAATCCCATATATATCAGTTAACGTCTCTTTCAAGAAGTCATGCACATTATTAAAAAAAAAAGGGAGTTCCAACCAACCGTCGGTAAATTTAACACTGTACACATACCACATATCACAATATGGAAGTGGAAAAAAAAAAAGAGAAAGAGGAGGAAACCCTTCAATATTGTAATGAATCTTTGTGCCACTATTTACGGCATTATGGTAGGTACCATGGTATCCAAGAACTGTACTGGAAATAGTAAAAGGATGATAATATCCTTTACCCCAAGATATAGATGGGGAGATATAAAAAGATAGGAAATAGGAAAGGCCAGAAAAACAAGAAAAGCAAATGCAAAAGTAAATATAGCACTGAGGAGCTTAAGCCTTAATCAAACAAAACTGAAGTATTTCAACCAAAAACGATTGGAAAAGTCCTGTAAGACAAGTCCATTTCTTTATATACACCATAAATTTTATAAGAGGTAGAAAAGAATGATGTCCCTCACAGAGATGAAAACTATAGAAACAGCCTAAAATTTCACATCTAACAGGCCTCAACAACACTCAAGTGTCCCAAAATTTTAAAGGTAAAGCATGAAACAGAAACACCAAACAAAAGACTGGTATAACTATCTTGTCCATCAACCTGAGCTCTACTCTCGAGCTGACTAGTCAGACGACATCAAAAGGGGTTAACGACACACGAAACAAAACCTCAATGACACTTTAGCTAGTTATGCCTTCAGATAAACCCATCAACAAAACCTAACAATCTTTACCTCTACATATCCCATACAGGGGAAAAAACAAAATGAAACAATCAGAACATCATCTACAACCTAGTTACCTAGTCCTAAAAGTTTGAGCTCTCCTCCCATTAAATTCCAGTCTATTTCTACAGTATCAATGATGAGATTTTGGCAATTCAAATATAATGAGCAAAAGTCAAAACAGTAGGATTAACCAGCGCAAGTGGAAAATGCTGTCCAAAGGCTAGTGGCACTTAAACAAATTCCTGACTTGTAAAGTTGTAAGAGAGAATAGTGGCATCATTATATGAAAGCTACATAATTATGGTGATTATAAAAAAACAATGACACCACCGAGAAAACTCAAATGAACATAATTAAGGAAGACCAGCCAAAAGGCATAGATGGCAAGAGGTATATAAGCAAATCAGCAACCAGCATAAAAAATTATTTGAAACTAGAAAATATATTAACGACGTTTGACAAATGAACAAGACCCTCACCCATCACATTTATACATATTATCCCCATGAAGCGGCTCTCTTGCTGTGAATAGGTCTAAACATTCCTCCAAAGATGCAGCATCCCCTTGAATTTCCACAGTTAAATCCATCATATTTTCAAACTGATTTGACACATTATTGCATTTTGTGCATATCACCTGGAAAAATAATGCACATTCAGGAGACCACTCAAAGTAAAAAGATAATATAAAAAATCCATACATATGCATCCCCACACAGGACAGAGAGGACGCAATGGGATATTCAATTGATATGCATAACGGGTAAACAGAGTTCTTGTACTATTTGGCTCAGATAAAAATGCTACAAAGACATTAACCTCTGTGCATGGGGACAGCTATTCTCATACCCCACAAAAATCTGGAAAAAAAATCGTTCACCTGATAAAACTGTTTATCAGGCAAACATTTATAAATTTTTCTTTTTTGGTTTAGGCTTGATGTTTTATAAGAGAATTACAAATAAAAGAGGCTGAGAAATAATCAGGTATCTTCTTTACAATTAGCAGGTGAAAAAACCAGCCATCAGTTTTATTCTTTAGCATCAAGGAAGCATGGATACGGATGAGATGCAGGTACGATATGGGTAAACGAATATAGCAAAACTTAAAATGATAGGATACGGATACACCCAAAATACATCTACATTTGTACTACTTCTAACAACTTGATAATTATTATTTCAGGGAAATTCTTTAATGACAGCACAAAAATTAGTAATTTTGACTTGCAAGAAAGCATTGATCGTCTCACTATGGTATATCCATAAAGTGAACGTGAGTAATTAAACAATGCAAAACCAATATTCAACTAGTTGGTTTCCTTAGAAAGTCTTGAACAACATATGATAGTAGATACTACTGAAGAAGCACTTATGTGTCTTCAATTTATATCGGTTTTTCTTTTAAGTGTTGCATTATACATAAATTCGAGAGGAAAAGGCAAAGATTAAATTAAAAATTGCTTTGTGTATGTATTTTCATATCTAAAGCACATGCATTGTGAATACGCATTGGCAAAGTATCCATACATTTTATTGCTATCTGATACGTATGTTGTGTACCAAATACGCATGCTCGAGTATCCCACAAATATCATATCTGATACAATATCTAATAAGGATCCGTCGACCTTAACGAAATATTCATACTTCTTAGCTTAGAATAATATGAACTAGAAATCCACATGTCAGACCTTTTTAAAGTAAATGACTCTCATGCTAATATCACAACTTTGTCAGTTACATAGATGTGTAACTACCTACAAGGCACAACCACACAAACTAAATCAACTCTAGCATCTGTTATCATATCACTCTGGACTGGAAGCAGGAGTGGAAGAAAGCTATAGAAGTGAACATAATCACACACCTTCATTCATATAGATGAATAAATGTCCTTTTTAGTAACTTTGGAGAGTCCTTAAAAACCATACTTACAAGCAGCAAAAAATGTTCCCTAGAAATCCCTCAAGAGAGAAAGGAATGTAAATCAAAAAAAGGCACAGCTAATCAAGTGTCTCAAACGAACATACATTTCTAACTCTATATTGGACAGCCAAGGAAACCCACATAAAGAGCAAGTACTTGACGCAACTAATTAAACAAAATGCATAATCAAATACCCCAAGGGCAGAAGAGATTGAGGGCTTCCAAAGAAGCAGCCCACTAAAGCACAAAGCCTAGACATACAAGCTCAATGAATCTCAAACTGAAAAGGTAACATAAAACCACCCAACCCAAAAAGAAAATAAAAAATAAATCGAACAAATGCTTCCTTGCTAGCCTGAAAAAAGGAAACACTGGTAAACACCAAGTCCGAATTAAACAAATAATCCTTCACCAATAATAGACTGCAGCACAACTTGAATAATACTATATTCTCAAGAAGAAACTCTGCCCTTAAGGCTTTTGGAGGGTAATACAATGATATTCACCTTAATGGTTTACTGAAAGTCATATGCCTAAATAAGACCAAAATAAGGAAAAGAAGTGTCACGCATCAAAAGTTTGCCTCATGCCTGAATCATGACCTTAACAAACAGTAATGTAGGGCGAGAAGGACTAGAAATCAGAGAATAAAAAAAGAAGAAAAAAAAATAGGGGGGATAAGGAATTTACCTCATCCTCACAGGGAATCAATCAAGAAATACACAAAATTTTTCACAGAGAAACACTTTTTATTATATCACTCTTCGCAATAATAGTTGAGATTACACCATTATTTATAAGTCAAGTTCTCTACCAAAATAAAAACTACTCTCCTACTAAAATTCTAAAAAAATTGCATAATCAAACTCGCAAACTCTTATACTACTAAAACTCTATAATAATTTCCTATTAAAGGATAGAACTAGGTCCCCCCTTCTTTGTACTGACAGGTGAGTAAAGGAGAACCCTTGGGTTGTAGGAGTCAAGTCTATGTCAGGACCTCTTTCCAGGTATCCCCCTAAGTGAAGGATTAGCTTCTTGGGACTCCCTCCTACGTCGAACTTCTTCTTCATCTATTTTTCCAAGTTGGGTGTTGGGTTTAAAAGAATAGATCGTCCTTCTTTTTACTGAAAGTTGAGATATGGGGCCGCCAGGTTGATCTATTACGAAAAGAGCTCGGCTCAAATTCTCGCTATTACTCCTAGTCAAACAAATACTCATAAATCAAATAATAATAATAAAACTATCAATTATACTTCCCTTTGAACCAAAAATTCTTAGTCTTTCTACTAGGCTTCCAAAGTCGATTGTATTGGTCCAACCAACCAATGATTGCGCCATCAATTTCCCCCCGCTAAAAAGAACTCGACTCCGGCGAGTAAGGAGAAGGTCTAAGAATACAATCTGATGGAGAAGCTCCATAAATCAATAATGAACTCTTTTTCAATTGTAGTATAGGTGCATCAGTAGCATAAGTAAGAGTATACTTCTTTCTTCCAATTGCAAAAAAATAAGTATTAGCATGCCCCGCATGTTGTGCATCATGATCTCATATCCAAGTGCGGCCTAAAAGTATATGACAAAACTTGAGAGGTAACACATCACACATAACGGTCTCCTTAAAGCTCCCAACAGTGAATGTCATGGTCCCATATCCAAGTGCGCCCTAAATGTATATGACAAAACTTCAAAAGCAACACATCACACATAACGGTCTCCTTAAAGACCCCAACGGTGAATGTACCTAGACATCTCTTATCAACTTTCAACTTGGCATTAGTAATCTATGCTATATGATATGGTTCCAGATGTAGTTCAACTTTCAAATTTAATTTCCATATGACCTCTTCTAATACCACATGTGTGCAACTTCCCATGTCAATCACTAATGAGCACATTTTTCCTTCATAACAAACTCTTGGTTGAAAGATTTTCCCTCAATGAGTAAACTCATCATTAACAACTTCTTTATTAGCAATAAGTAGAGAACGGATAACACCCACAAAATGATCATCATCCAAATCATCAAAATTAACCTCACCCACATCCAAAGGTTTTACAATCTCTGTTTCAAATTCTGGCTCATCAGAATCATTATACACCTTAGAATTTTACTTTTCAACCACAAAAACAAATTTTGAAGGGTATTGAAAAGAGAGATGACCAAAATCAAGATAATTAAAACATCTCGTCTTATAATTAGTGCTCTCTTGAGAAGAAGAATTAGCAGTTGTCCAAGATGGTTTGTTTGGAATAAAAGTATTCTTTGGGGGTTTATTGGTGGACTTACCTTGACTTGTATCTACGACAGTTCTCTCGATCCAGGTTGGAGGTATCATAGAAGATCTCATATAAGATCTGTTTTTCAACTCATCTTCCATTTGATAGGCAACCTAAACTGCATCTGCCATAGTGTAAAGTCTACTTGCAGCTAAACCCGTAGAAATTTGTGAATTGAGACGTTGCCTGTACATGGCAATCGTCACATCCTCAATCCAGTAACTTTGATCGAGTGGCCAAATAGTAGAACTTTCTTGTGTGCTCCTCGACAGATATACTCTTTTGATTCAATTATGTAAACTGTAGATGAGCTCATTACTTATAATTAGCAGGCACAAAGTAACAAGTCATAGCAATCTTCATATCATCCTATGATCTATCAAAGTGAGTTTGTTGGTACTTTACCCACCAAAGTCTTGTTATACCCTTCAATTTTAATTCTACAAAGAAAACCTTCCTTTCATTGATCAAACGGTGTCATCTGAAGAAGGTTTCAATGTTATGCAACCAATCAAGGAATATCGCTAGATTATTGTCTCTGTGAAAATTTTCAACCTCTAATTTAACCCCTTTATCAATATCAAACAATTTTGGGTCTTCTCGAACTAGGCCTTGTGGTGAAAGGCCTTGTACAAGTACCGATGGAAGATTAAGGACATAAGATGATGGACTATTATTAGCGTTTTTCTCAACTCTTTTACCCTTCTTATCTAAGAGATAAACTTCTATGACTCCTTTAGTAATGTTATAGACGCCTCTAGTGAATCCATCCTCTCATTCATGGCCTTTTGTGAATCAACTTGTGCTTGGGATAAAGCCTCCACTATAGCATTTAATTCCACGTTGAAAACCATTTTAATGGAAGAGATTTTAGGGATTTTTAAAAATTTGGGGGTAAAATTGTAATTTCAACAAGATTTAGGGCAAAACTGAAATTTCAAAAACTTTGGGGTAAAAATTGTAATTTTAGAAAAATTTGGGGTAAAAGTGTAATTTCAGAAACTTGTGGGGTCAAAATAAAATTTTTGAAACTTTTGGGAGTGTAAGTGTAATTTATAAAACTTCTGGGGTAAAATCTATAATTTTAGGAAAGTTTGAGAGGTGTTTGTGTAATTTCAAAAGTACTGGGGGTTTGGATCCAAAATTTCTGAAATATAGGCTGGGTAGATGTGGGCTTAAGGGATGATATTTTTGGAATGGGTGGGGCTGAGTTAGGCTCCTGATGGGCTCTAGCTAGGATAGAAACTCTAAAGAAATTGGACCAAAGTTTTACCTAAATTTACCCCACCCATAAGTGTCTTCAGCAAGTCTTCTTGTCTTCCAGAAGCAGTTGCCTGATACTTTCAATATTCAACTACAACAACAGTGCCGACCAAGAGATAGA